AACATTAAAACATTTTCTATTTCATTCCATCATAATGAAATAGAATTAGAATTCAACAATAGAAACTGTAAAAAATAAGAACGTGGAGGTTAAATGAAGCATTTGAATGATCAGTTATTGAAGAGACTAAGAAAGTTAAAAAAAAATCTTCCTGGAATCAAATAAAATAAAAACAGCATAATCAAACCTGTGGAATATAGTGAAAATGGCCTAGAGATGTTTACAGCTATAAAGGTCTGAAGCAGTCAGCCGTGACTCAAGTAGTAACCTGTGAGGGAAGGAGAAGAGGAGCCGTGTGGTGAGTGAAACAGAAAGAAAAGATCAATACAATGAATCACTGTAACAGTGAGTCCTTTGAAAGAACAGAACAGATGATCAAACCCATAGCCATACTAAGCAAAAGATGGATGAAGACACAATAGAATTAGAAATGAAAAAGGTGACCAAGATACCACTGAAACCTAGAAGATCATTAGGGGATATTTTCAAAGCTTATATTTTAATAAATGAGAAAATCCAGACATTTCTAGATACATAGGCCTACCAAAATTAAACCAAAAGTATAGCGGGAAAAAAACAAAAAAACAAAAAATCCTAGCCACAATAGTAAGCAAAGAGATTCAACTGCTGGTAAGAAGTCATCCACAGAGAAAAGCCTGGTCCGGCTTGATTCACTGCTGGTTTCTTCCAAACTTAGGAACACAGCTGTTCTCTCTTTTTTTTTTTTCTTTTAGAAGTCATATTTTTATTTTTGCAGATGTTTCCTTTTCATGTTTTTTAAATTAATTTTTTAATTTAAATTAAAAACAATCTTACAAACAGATCCCAGTTTCCTCTCGCTCCCACCCTCCCACTTTCCCCCACCATCTCCCCATACCACACCCCATCCATTCCTTAGGGCAAGGTCTCCCATGGAGGGTCTTGTCACATCATTTGGGTCAGGACTGAGGCACCTCCCTCCTGCCCTGTATCTAGCCTGAGAGAATATCCCTCTGTAGGGAATGGGCTCCAAAAGCTTGTTCATGCCTTAGGGATAAATTCTGGTTCCACTGCCAGGGGTCCCATAGATTGCCCAGTGCTCCTAGCTGACAGGCATGTTCAGGGGGTCTGGATTAGTCCTATGCTGGTTTCCCAGCTGTCAGTCTGGGGTCCATGAACTCCCCCTTGTTCAGATAAGCTGTTTCTATGGGTTCCCCCAGCCTGGTCTCGACCCCTTTGCTCATCACTCCTCCCTCTCTACAACTGGATTCCAGGAGTTCGGCTCAGTGCTTAGCTGTGAATCTCTGCTTCTGCTTCTATTAGCTACTGGATGAAAGAGAATCATGGCTGTTCTTTAAAACATTCCACAAAATATAGATGAAATGAAAACTTTCAAACTTATCCATGAAGCCAGTACTGTTGTAGTATCCAAATTGGATAAGGTTATAACAATGAAAAGGAAACTACAGACCATTTTCCCTGATCAACATAAATGCAAAAACCCTTAGTAAAATACCTGCAAACTGAATTTAGGAGCACACAAACATAGTAACCGAAGTGGAGTAATAAGTATGTCAAGCACAAAACACTGCATGATCATTTCAGTAGCTGGAGGAGACTCCTTAGGTGGGCATTCACCATCTCTTTATGATAGGAGCTCTGAAGAGATTAGCAATAAAGGAATCATAAGGAAACTGAGGGATTTTTCAGAAATCAGTAACAAGGCAAGGATCTGTCCCCTTCCTTCTTTATAGTGCTTGAAATCTTAACCAGAGCAACAAAGCAAGAGGAAGGTAAAACACAGTCAGGTAAGAAAAGAAATCAAACTACATATTTGCTGGTGTTATGATCTTATACCCCAAAGATCTAATGATCCCACCAGAATTCTTTTGATCAACATTTCTAGAAGAGTTTAAAAAAATTAACATGCAAAGTTAAGTATCTTTTTTTTCTACACAAACAACAAATAAGACAGAACTAGGAAAACAATCCTATTTACAACAGCTCCCTACTGCTCCCTTCCCTGCCAACCAAGAGATGTAGAAGACTTTTGTTATTTTTGAGATCATATTTTAATTACTTTTCTCCCTCTAAACCCTCCCATATATTCCTGCCTGTTCTCCTTCAAATTCATGACCTCCTTTTAAATCAACAGTTATTGCATGCATATATATCTCCCTTTCCCCAAATGATGACAGACTTTGATGATCCCCCATGGGAGGCCTCATCCTCTCTAAGGGTTTGGGGCGTGGGATGAGGAGATGGTGCAGGGAGTGGGAAGACAGGAGGGAGAGGGAACTGGGATTGGTATATAAAATAAGATTGTTTTTAATTTAAATAAAAAATTAATAAAAAACATGAAAGATGTATATCTTCCTAAATATAACCTTTTGAGTCTATATAATGTTACTTGCAGCTATGTTTTCAGGATTGACCATTGACACTGGATGACCAATTGTGCTTTTCCCTGCTCCCAGATTTACTTAGTTGCTGATAGTTTTTTATGTATGGTTGTAGGCTTTTCTATCCAGTTTGGCATGTTCGATGGTGTCTTCATTGTTCGGCTTATGTTTGGACAGTCATTTTGGTTAGACATTATGAATGTGGCTTCTGATAATACTAGGAGGTACAACCTCACAGCAAAGTTTCTTACAGTATTTCTGCTGTGCATGCATGTGTGTGATGTGTGTATGTGTGTGTGCGTGTGCGTGTGCGTGTGCGTGTGCGTGTGTGTGTGTGTGTGTGTGTGTGTGTGTGTGTGGTGTATGTATATATATGACACAAACATATTTTCACAGCTGTTCATTGGCTGATGGGTATCAAGATGGTTCCATGACCTGGCTATTGTGAATAGTTAATATTGACTTCGTTTAATATAGGCATTCAGGTTACCTCTATGACTTGCTGTTCTTGACTCTTTCAGATGTACATACAAAGTGGTACAGCTGGATTGTGTGGAGGTTCTAGCTATAATTTTTTTGAGACACCTTCTCAGTTGCTCTAATCACTTGCATTTCCACCAATAGTATCTAAATGTCCTTGCCCGGCTCTCTGGTGTATTGTTCTCTTAATGCTAGCCATCCTGACTAGGTTGGAATGGACTCAATGTAGAAATGGTTTGCAATTTCCTGATGACTAAAGATAAAACTGTTTCATGTATTCATTAGGCACTTAAGCTACTTCTTTGATAAACGATTGCTAATTCATTGACCTATCTATTAACTGCATCATTTATTCTTTCATCCATTAACTGCATTATTTATTCTTCTGGCATTTAGTTTTTATAATTTGTTATGTATTTTAGTGATGAACACATGGCAACGGATTTCCCATGTTCTGTGGGTGTGCCTCTCTATTATTAATGGTTTGCTCTGTTGCACAGAAGCCTCGTAGTTAGACGCAGTTCCACTTGTCGATTCTTATTGTGTCCTGAAGAAATTCAGTCCTAATGTGAAAGTCACAGCCCATACTTACATTATAAAGTGTCTCTCTCCCATGTTTACCTGTAGTAGTGTCTCCATTCTAGGTCTTACATGAAGATCTTTGAACCAGTTTGTAGCTAACTTTTTTCTTTTTGAGTCAAGGTCACATGAGGCTGGCCCTGGAACGTGAACTCCTGGTTTATCTGCCTCCACTTTCTAAGGGCTGGCACTACAGGAGTGTGCCACTATATCCAGATTAAGCCATTTTAAAAAAAAATAGGCCATAAGGTAGGGATATAGTTTCAATCTTCTACCAGTTGTCAAACAACCTGTTCTCCACTATGTGTTTTCAGCACCTCTATTGAAAACTCAAACGGCAGTAGCGTGATTTAGTTCTGGATCTTCTGTTCTACATTGCTGCGCATGTCTGTTTTCTCAGTAGAATTTGATGTCAGCTGTTACAGAACTTTCATTGTTGCTTTTCTGGGGGTTCATATGTGTATATATGATGGGGCCATACATGTATGTATATATGATTGGTCCACACATGTGTATGTATATATGATGAGTCCATACATGTATATATGATGGGTCCAGCTATATCTATGTCTGTGTCCATATCTATATCTGTCTGTCTGTCTGTCTATCTGATGGATTAGCCTTGTAGAAGAAAATGGAACTGGAGAGTCTCATGTTAAATGAAATATGCCAAGCACAGAGAGACAAGTAGCATATGTTTTCTCTCATATATGGAATCTCAGTTAAAAAAAAAAAATGACCTGAGTCTGGGTGTTGGGGTCGCACGCCTTTAATACCAGCACTCGGGAGGTAGAGGCAGACGGATCTCTGTGAGTTCGAGACCACCCTGGTCTACAAGAGCTAGTTCCAGGACAGCCTCCAAAGCCACAGAGAAATCCTGTCTCAAAAAAAAAAACTAATAATAATAATAATAATAATAATAATAATAATATTTTTAAAAAGACATGAAAATTGAAGGAGGACTTTAAGGCATAGGAAGGGGACGTAGGGGAAGGAATGAGTATACATAATGAGAATAATATGCTGAGAAATCTTCTATATAGTATGGAAATGCCAGTGATGTGCTGATGAACGCCCAGAGTTTAGTATTTCTGTAAACTTATAGGTTTCCTGGTTCTCTTTATAAAGTAAAATTGCCTTGGTTGATAATTCTATGGTTCATCTTCATTGTCAACACTTGGTCAAGGATCACCTAGGAGCGAGACATCTAGGAATATTTTGGGGGTGTCTCTGAGGTTTAACTGAGGATGGAAGACCTGCCCTGTGTGTGGGTGATCCTATCCTGTAGGCTGGGGTCCTGGACTCAGGCACAAGGGGTGAGGGAGAAAGCCAGCAGAACCCCAGCATCCCAGGCTCTCTTCCCAGGTGGCTAAGTGTGAGGAGTCACAGCTGTTGCTCCTTTCCCCTGGTGCATCATGCTCACTTAATTGTGAGCAGCAACAAACTGTCTTCCCCTCTTGACAGGTGTTGGTCCCACAGTGGAAGGTGGAGAATGAAGGGGAGCCTCGTTGCTGTTTCCAGGCTGTGTACATTTTCTTCCCTTGTTTTGATCTCTTTCAGAACAAATTGGAGCATTGGCTGATCAGCATATTGTACATGTGGCATGTGGAGAGTCACACAGTCTGGCTCTTAGTGACCGGGGTCAGCTGTTTTCTTGGGGTGCAGGAAGTGATGGCCAGTTAGGACTCATGACTACTGAAGATTCTGTGGCAGTGCCCAGGTGAGAATGTCACCCAAAGGGTTCCTGATTTTATACTGTTTTCTTCATGTCGTTGCTATTTCCTTTATGCTATTGATATGCCTGCTAACAACATTTGTGATACACTCACACACAAAACATAAATACAGTGCTTTTTAGTAATGTGCTCCTTGAATTACAAACACACGAGTTGGTCTAGGACTGAATTTGTTCTGGGACTGGCTACCAGCTGAGTTCCTGGCAGCTGACAAGTGTGTTGACTAAAAGGGTGCCTCTTTTATCTCTCAAACATATTTACCTCAAATTGATGATCGGAAAGTTGTTTTTAATTGTCTTTCTTTTTCTTTTCTTTCTTTTTTTTTTTTTTTTTTTTTTTTTTTTTTTGAGACAGGGTCTCATTTAACCCAGATTGGCCTTGAACTCACTATGTAGCAGAGGCTAACTTTATATTTCTGGTCCCCTTGCCTGTACTTCCCAAATGTAGGTTCCTGGGCACTGTCAGCCACAGTCTGCTCATTAGCATTTATGGAGACAGTAAATGCTTTGGAGATCCTAAAGATTTTGTGTGCCACAATAATCACTTTCTAAAGTAGGGATGGTACACAGTTGGATTTTAGAAATGGGTCCAAGTGTAGGAGAATTTGTTTGTTTTAAACAGTAAATCCCTAAGAGTGAACCTAGTGAGAGCCATAATAGAATTTTATTAGACAAGATTACATGCTTAATTAGACAAGATTACATGCTTAATTTTGGAAAGGTCTTTTAGACAAGATGGTATTTTTAATGAACGTGTTTAGTCAAGAATGTTTCTGATAATTGTGTTTCTGTGTGAATGCACGTTTAAGAAAACCGTTTTCTGTTTTAGGTTAATACAGAAGCTGAACCAGCAGACCATATTACAAGTTTCCTGTGGCAACTGGCACTGCTTGGCTCTGGCAGCTGGTAATTTATATACATATATGCTAATGTTATGTTAATTTAAAAACCACTTCTCTCCTGCAGTCCTGTGTTATCTAACTGAAAGCTTTAACTGAACAGTGGCATTTGTTAAACAGCCTTCGTGTAGCTCATCCTTTCTGGGAGACGAGGATGAGGATGTAGAATACATTGCTGTTTCAGCTCCTACAGCAAAGAGAAATGAGGGCCATGGCAGTGCCCAGGTGTTTTTCAGAATATGGAAGTATTTTTGGACTTTGTTTTTAAAAGCTACGGATCCACTCTCAAGCTCCATTTTCCTGTCAGGATTCCAGATAAATCCTGGTGCAAGGATACACTTTTCATGCTGCGTGTTTTGCTTAGGCCTCCTCCGTCCTAGAGCAGTTCTGGGTCACAGCGGCAGCTCCTGGCAGTGTGGTCAGTGCTAAGTTCACCTTGCTTAGACATGCCCCTGGTAACCAGCCTGGTTAGAACCAAATTTACCTAAATCTTCAGTGTTTTCTTTAGATAAGTGTCGCTAGCCTTTGAAGGGCACTAAGGCTTCTGATGTCTAATGCTGCTTTAGGATTTGGAAAGCTTAAAACACCAGGCGTCTCTTCCTTTTCCCCCGTGGGTGGGTTTGGTGCATATAGGGCAACCAATGAATAGTGTAGCAGCAAGATTATCTTGGTGTATGGAGCTGGAATCATTGTTTATAGCATCGGTTGTCCTGTTGTTGTTTCAGATGGCCAGTTCTTCACCTGGGGAAAGAACAGCCATGGACAGCTGGGCCTGGGGAAGGAGTTCCCCTCCCAAACCAGCCCCCAGAGGGTGAGGTCTTTGGAAGGGATCCCACTGGCTCAGGTGGCTGCAGGAGGGGCTCACAGCTTTGCCCTGTCTCTCTCAGGAGCGGTATTTGGCTGGGGAATGAACAATGCCGGGCAGCTAGGGCTCAGTGATGAAAAAGGTATGCAAAGTCTCTGTGTGCACATTCATGTATTTAATAAGTGCTTCTTGTGCACCTGCTGTGTGCTGGCCTAGTGCTAGGTACAGAGGGAGCAGACATGAACAAGAGACGACACCTGTGGCTTAGCAGAGACCACATTCTAGTGCATGGCTGCTAATATAATCAGTCTGCCAATATATGGTGTGCCACATGGCTTTAGAATAAGCTCCCCAATGATCAGGAGCTGGTCAGGAAGGAGCTCTCTGATAAGGGCATATTTGAGCAGAGCTCTATAGGAGACCAGGTGGCAAGTGGGACATGTACATAACTTGGTGAGGAATATTCCAGGCCAGGGACCAGACACCGACATGAAGATGAGTGGTGGGGAAGCAGAATTGGAGATCAGGGAAGCTATGCAGGCACTGCTACCAAGGACCCCAAAGGGCACAACGAGGACTTCGACTTCCCTCCTCAGTGAGGGAGAAGAAATGAAGGGTTTTGAGGAGAGCAGTGGTCTAGCGTGAGTAGCTATGGTGGGTCAAGGGGGCAGGGATCTGTTTGGAGGGAGAAGCACTAGTCAGGTTTTTGTAGTGCTTGATGGTGCTTCTGTTCATAGGATGTGTAACTGGAAAACTGGAAAGAGAGGGAAGGTTGGAAGGATCAGGCTGTGTGTGTGTGTGTGTGTGTGTGTGTGTGTGGAGTTGGAGTGGACAGAGTTAGAGAGTACAGGAAATAACGAGTTAAGGTTTTGATATATTAAACTTAAATTTTGCTGGACTTTTCAAGTAGAGTTGGAGGCAGAGAGCTGAATGTGTATATAAAATCAGCAGATATAAAATTTACGCCGATAGTTGTATATATCTCGTTTAAAAGGCCTATGGTAATGACAAGCTGATGCTTAATTTATTTTAGATCGAGAGTCTCCGTGCCATGTGAAGCTTTTACGAACACAGAAAGTTGTCTATATTAGTTGTGGAGAGGAGCACACAGCAGTTCTCACAAAGGTGAGGGGCTTAGGGGACTTGGCTGGAGGGACAGGGGGACACATGGGATGGACATGGGCAATTTCAAACATGGCAGAGTAGCCATGATGGTGAATTCTTGTGCTTGGACCTGACTTTTCTATTTAGCTTTATTTTGATTGTCTTGAGAGGAACACAGAGAATCCTGCTGTTAAACAACATGCCTGTACTTTCCTCTTGGAAAAGTTTATAGCGTCTCAGTGACTTTCAAAAATAGTTCAATATAAATAACTTAAAAGTATGATATGTATATGCTTATGAAAAACAGCACCCATCCTTTGTTCTTTTTAAATAATCCATTTTAACTACTAAAATTATTAGGTGGTGTCTGTTGCTTCTAAAAACATTTACATGCTAGAAAAAATGAAAATCCTTCCTTCCCTTTTTTTTTGTGCGTTTGAGACTAGGTCTCATGTATCTGGCTGTTTATCCTGTCATACAACATGTATTAATATGGTTTGGAACTCCCGCACTCTCTGCCTCCACTTCCTAAATACTGGGATTTTAAATGTGAGCCACCATGCCTAGCTCATGTTGGGAACTTGCTATCATATATTGCTTAGCATTTCTTCAAGTACAAATTTAAAGTCTTTATTTCAGAGTTTATGGAGCCTCCGTTTCTTACATGTGGGTGAACCTGAAGAGTCTTCTTATTTCACCTATTTTAGCTTTCAAAACGTCTGCCTCCAAACACATTATTGCTCTTAAAAATTATTTTGTGCAAGTGTTTTGCACGTGTATGTGTATCATATACATGCCTGGTGCTTGTGGAGTCAAGAACAGATTGTTGGATCCCCTGGAACTAGAGTTACCTCTGGCTGAGAGGCTCGGGCATTGAGTTCTGTGAGCAGAACTCAGGTCCTCCAGAAGAGCAGCTGTTCCTAAACTGCTTAGCTAACTCTCGCCCTGCATCACTTCTCTTTTAAATAGTCTTTAAAATCCCCAAATGGCATATGGTCCTTAAGGACTTTGTTCCCTAAAGCTGAGCTCTTACATCCCTTTATTCTTTTTCTACCTCATAAATGTTCTCAAGGGATGATGATGGCCAAGTACTGGGTGAGTGCAGTGCTTTATACAGACTGGTGAGATGGAACTTATGTGCAGGTTTTAGATGACAGCCCTCAAATTTAGGTTCCAACGCCACCTGACTGACCCTTGTTCCTCGTTAGAGTGGGGGCGTGTTTACATTCGGTGCTGGTTCCTGTGGACAGCTTGGACATGGCTCCATGAATGATGAAGTTAATCCCAGAAGAGTTCTGGAGCTGATGGGCAGTGAAGTAACTCAGATTGCCTGTGGCAGGTGAGTGAGCGCCTCTGAGACCCAGAAGTGGGTCTGGCAGTGGGAAAGCCTGTGGGCTCACTGCACCACTGCCATGTTAAGAAATCTTTTTCTGCTTGCATTCTTTTTTTTTTCTTCTATAAGATAGAGCTGGTCTCTGGTCCTGACACTGTTCTCAAACTCTCACACTCATCAATATGTAATGGAGGCTTCCCCCTGCCCTTACCTCCCATAGTGAAGGGATTGTTGGCATGTGCCAGAGTTCACAGCTTTGTTTTAGGAAATCTCAACTGTAGGGAAAGTGAGACTGTAGTCGGCATGGTAAGGAAGGGTTTTAGGTAAGCAGACCAAAAGGAGAACATTGGGCCTCTTGGGATAGAGGTTGAGCAGCCGAATGTACAGAAGAAATAAAGACGGAGTGTGGCAGTTCCTTGCTGTACCTCTATCGCTTTTCTTTCATCCTGAAGGGGGGATGTATGTGGCAGATGGCTCATCTCTTTCCACATGTTGCCTTCCTCACCAAGATCAGGAGGCACGTTTGTGACCTTTGTCACAGCAATACAGTGATGTCTTCTGTGGTTTCAGTAGTTACAAGCCTGCCCTGCAATCACAAGGACGCAAATTTGGATTCCCACCAATCACATTAAAAAGCCAGATTTGGCAATGTGCATCTGTAACCCCAGTCCTGTGACAGGCTGAGACAAGAATATTCCCTAATCTCACTGGCAAGCCAGCCTAGTTCACCAAGAGACACTGTCTTCAAAAAAGGTTCAGTGAGAAGACTATCTTTTAAAAAGGCTCAGTGAGAAGACTGTCTTTAAAATAAGGAGAAAATTATTTCTGGCCTTTCACACACATGTGTGTTCATATGTACATACACATGTACAGACTCACTAGCAATCATAATACACACACACACACACACACACAGAGAGAGAGAGAGAGAGAGAGAGAGAGAGAGAGAGAGAACTACAAAATCAAATTATACAAAACTTCTCAATGTTTTAAGCAAATTTATTCTTTAGTGTCACACCGCTTTCATAGTTGTTCTGGGTTGTAGCCATAGGTTAGCCATTCCTGATTGGGTGTCAGAGGTTAGGAGTCTGTTGTTCAAAACAAAACATAAGAACATGGAGAGACTCCAGAGGAACCCACAGGAATTGCTGTGGTCTCATATGGAAGTTAAAAATCAGATTGATTGTACATCCTTACCAGTGGAAAGAGTGCCAATGAGTCAATTCTTTTCCTACAGACAGCACACCCTAGCCTTTGTGCCTTCTTCTGGACTCATCTATGCCTTTGGCTGTGGAGCGAGAGGTCAGCTAGGAACTGGACACACATGTAATGTTAAGTGCCCATCTCCGGTGAAGGGGTATTGGGCTGCCCACAGTGGTCAGCTTTCAGCTAGAGCTGGTAAGAGTGATTTTCACTGCAATTAATTATTATTTTAATATGTATTTGTTACTCACCTTGAACTATTTTTGAGGGTTAAGCATGAGTTGTTTTGTTCTTTGTGTTTTGGGGTATTTATCATCAAACCATTCAAGCATTTGCTCTGCATGAAGCTCTGTAATTGGAAGCTTAGAGAACAGCTGTCGGGACTTGAGGGTGAATATCTTACTGTTGTTATCAGTGAAGATTAATTTTCAAGTCTTAATTGATTGTTTAACAAATTCCATTACCATGTTAAGCACTAAAAAGCAAGCACATGACTGTTGGTCATCACCCCCTTCTCAAAAGCAAAGGGCTGATCCCTCAAGATCAAAAAAAAAATTCTAGAGGCAGGATTTGAACCCAGATCTGCCTCACCCAAAAGCCTGTATTCTGGGTTCTGCTTCTGGTGTCTGGTGATAATGGGATGAGACTTCTTTCTGAAGATTCCCTTGAAGAGATTGGGCCAGCATACTGTTGATTTCATTGGAGGCTAAAGTAAGACAGTTACTCATATTGACCTGAAATAATATATCCAGAGCTAGAAATTGAACTGCCAGGTTATTAAATAGAAATATAATTTAATAATCAAATTTAATTTTGAATTTTAAACTAACAAATTTAGGGTTTTGTGTGGACTTGAAAATAACAGTTACAAGTTTCCTTACTTGTGTTTGTCTTTGTGAAAAGCAGAGAAAAGGGATTCATTCAATTGGCCACATTGGGAAGAGGAACAATTGAATGGTCCAGTGTCTCCCAAGTTCATCCTTCTCCCTCCAGATGCTAAGAAACTTAAGGCCAGGGAATTAATCATCTTTGCAAACCTAGCATACAACATAGAGCTGGTCAAACCTGTCACTCAGTAAATACTTACAGGACCAATATGTATAACCAATATAGTAAATTTACAACATGAAATAGAGGGTTAGGGTTAGAGGGTTAGGGTTAGGGTTAGGGTTAGGGTTAGGGTTAGGGTTAGGGTTAGGGGGGGGTGGGGGGGGTGGGGGTGGGGGAGGTGGGGGTGTCTTTTTTGTCATTTGTAAATATCTTTCTCTAGGTATTCTCCTCATACTTGAAATATATGTGCTGAGCAACTGTGCTCCTGGATCTGGTAGCACTCTTACAGACATTCAGGATCACAAGTCCTAGGCCAGCCAGCAATAATTGAATCAAGAAACTTAACTTGAAACCACAGGTTTTTGAAATTGAGTCACAATCTGGCTTGACTTAAGTGGTTGTAAATTTATACCTGTGTGTTTGAACATGGTAGAAATAAGATTTCAGATTTTCATGTCATATGCTATGGACCTACGGCCCTTTGTGACAGTATGAGTCAATAGAGGAGGGCACTGAAGAGTACTACAGCTAGAGGAGGGCAATGAGGAGTGTTACAGCTAGAGGAGGCTAGAGCTGGTGGTTAGAGTTTGTGAAGGGGAGGACTTCGAGGGAACAGAGCTGTTACCTGGAAGTGTAAAATTCATGTCAAAGGAAGCAAACTATCCAAGGAAGATATACTGTGTGGGAGAGGAGGAAAGAGGTATAGAGAGATGAAACAGCACAAGATATTTGGGTTATTAGAAGATACAAAGCAGTTACATGGATAGCCAATCAGATCAGCCATGAAGTCTCACACACACACACACACACACACTCACACACACACACACACACTCACACACACACACACACACTCACACACACACACACACACTCACACACACACACACACACTCACACACACACACACACACTCACACACACACACACACACACACACTCACACATGCACGTAACATTAAACAAACTGCGAAGGTTTGTGTATATTTAGGTGTCTGTGTGTATGCATGTAACAGTGACAATTAAAAAAGAGTCCATCGGGCGTTGGTGGCGCACGCCTTTAAACCCAACACTCGGGAGGCAGAGGCAGGGGGATCTCTATTAATTCAAGACCAGCCTGGTCTACAAGAGCTAGTTCCAGGACAGCCTCTGAAGCCACAGAGAAACCCTGTCTCAAAAAACCAAAAACCAAAACCAAAACAACAAAATAAAACAAAACAAAACAAAAAAACAACCAGCTAAAAGAGGCCATGATTTCAAAATGGAGAGGGGAGGGATGAATGCAACAGGTTAGGGGAAGAAAGCAATGTAATTACATTTTAAATAAATAAAAAAAAAGCAATTAGTTGGTCTTACGATTACCCCTCATGATGGGGTATCTTCCTGGGACTAGAAAAAGAGGTCTTTGTGTTTCTCGCATCACCCTGAAGGGGAGAGAGAGGACCACATGCAGATGTGTGATTGCTGCGCATATGTTACCATTAATAGTAGTGCTCATTTTAGTATTCAGGCCAGTGGCATGATGGAATTAGCATGAGGAAGAGAAACAAGGTCAGGGTTAGCTGCCTATGAGGGAAGCGGGCAGGGAGGGTATGGACACTACTTCATATATTTATTTTTTACTGAGCTAGAAACAGTCCTGGGCAGTGAGCAAGGAGGAAGGACTCTTCTCTGCACACAATTAAAATAGATAAGCATACTTTGGAATATCAGAAGAGGATCGAAGGGAGCAACCATTGAAAAACAAACTGATTGAAATTTTCTTTATTGTTTTTGACAGACCGCTTTAAGTACCGTGTCGTTAAGCAGATCTTTTCTGGAGGGGACCAGACGTTTGTGCTCTGCTCCACATATGAGGTAAAATTTTCTTTTGATGATCACATTTAAAGTAGAGTGATGGTAGCTGATGTTTACTTTAATAGTTACACAAACGCTTTGGGGTTCTTTGTTTCTACTGATTTTTATCTTGCTAAAAGAAACAAACTAAGCCTTGACATTATCTCCACTTAGCTCCTTCAAATTGCTAATAATTATCCTGTTGTTATCATTGTAAAGTTCTAATTTATGGTGGAAGATTAATTATTTATATCCATATTTGTTCTAAAAAGAAATTTAAGGAGGCTTAGAGCATTCGTGTTACTATTTTTCTGTTTCTTCACTGTTAAATACCAAATGCATGCTAGATGCTTGGTTACTTAGTGGGTTTCATTGTTTGATGTGACCCAAGTATATATAAGAGAAATTCAAAAAAGGTCAGGGTCTTTATTCTTTATCACCTGTTTGTGATACCACACCAAGATTTCCCTTCTCTTGCCCCTTCATCACTGTACTAAATAAGCTCAAGAACAGTGGTGTACATGGGCATGATAGTGCACACCTGTAACCCTAGTACTCTTCTGGTAGAGACAGCAGTTCAAAGTTATCTTTGCCTACATGGCCAATTTGGACCAGCCTGAGCTACATGAGACCCTGTCTCAAAGGAAAAGCCAAAGGAAAGGAAGGAAAGGAAAAGAAAAGGGAAAGGAGGGAGAAGAGCAAAGGAAGGGGAAGGAGAAAGAAAAGGAGACAGTATATTTTGCCTTTCAGTGTTCAAGGTCTGGTATAGTTACAAGAATCTGTGGCACTTATCTTACTCATTCTACTCTTCATGGCCCAGGGCAGTCAGCTGAAAAGAGTGCTGAGCTATGGTTTTCTTCCTTTTTCTTTCTCATACTTCTACTTGTATTTAACAAGCCCTATAGGGGGACAAACTCAAGGTAGTAATTAGAAAAGCAGGAGACTTGGTTGGGAAGCAAACAGAGACCTTTCAATTGGGAAAGTCTCTCCATTGCTCTGACACTCTTCCATCTTTAAATCCTGTCCCCTTATTGCTGTTCTCTGATTCTATACGAATGGTCCTGGCCAGACTGAAAGCTGTGGCCAGTCAGCCATGTTTCAGATCAGGAGCCTGTGGAAACCCGTGTACTTTAGCCATCTTAGAAGTGATGGAGAATTGCTGCCTTGGACCCATTTTGGGTTCAACTTTATAACTTCACAGAAAATCTTGGAGGAAGTTGAGGTTGTACTAGTAAAACAAATGGTAAAAACACAGGGCCTCTTTAGTAACTTGCCTGTTTTCAAGTGATGGACTTGCAGGAATTCATTTATGTAAGAAACTGACTTGTTTTTTTTTTTTTTTTTTTCTGAGAGTTAAACATAAAACTTAAATTTCCTTCCTTTAATAAATATACAATACGATCTACGTAGTCATTTTAAATGTATTAGTAGTGTTGGGGAATGGAAAACAACCCACTGATAAAAGAAAGTAAGTTACATGACAGTGTTAGTCAGCCAGTACGTTAAAGTTTCAACTGGTAAGAGGTGAGTTTCAAGTTCACAGTGGAATGTTCCTCCTGCCCACTTAGGTAGCCAGGCATACCTGCAGCTCACTACTGCCCTTTGTCTCAGGCTGCCCTTGCAGCTGTGGCAACCCTGTCTTTTCAAATATAAAGCCATACATATTTACATCTTATCTCTCTCCTTCTTTCTCTCTATAGAAAAATAATGTTTCAGATTGTTTTGGATTTTGAAATATTTGCATATGCATAAGGTATCTTGGTGGTGGAACCCAAGTCTATACAAGAAACTCACTGCAACTCCAGTGCATCATGGAGGTCATGCCATATGACCTCTTAAATCACTATGTGCATGAACATGAGACTCACTAGGACTCAAACACACCGAAGGCATGTTACACAACATCTTAAGTAATTGTTTGCAGTACCATGAGACATACCACAGCTCCAACACACTGTGAAGGTGTGTCATGGGACATCTTAAATCACTGTGTGCATGAACAAAGCTTCTGGCCCTGGAGTTTCCCACTTCTGGGGTCATGTCAGCTTTGGAGTTTGAAGCTTTTGGGCTTTGAATGTTCCACCTATACTTGTATATTCCTTTCCTGTATTAGTCAGGGATTCTGAGAATAAATCACAGCCTTGCCTTTTCTTTTACCTTGTTCTCAGGATAGGACTGAAGAGGGAATGTGGTTGGAATCCTTAGGTGTGTGTGTGTGTGTTTTGCTTCAAGCCTGTTGACTATAATATTCTTTGTGTGTGTGTCTGCCTGTCCTTCTATCTCTGTCTGTCTGTCTGTCTGTCTGTCTGTCTGTCTGTCTCTGTCTCTGTCTCTCTCTCCCTCTCTCTATCGGTGTGTCTGTGTGTAATTGAATAGTGATATGTGATTCCCAACTCTGGTTATCCATTAGAGTCACCTGGGGAATGTCGAAACCCAGGACATGCTGGCAAGTACCGAATCACTGAGCTGCACTCCCAGGCATCCATACTTGATAGTTATATACTAGCTAAAAAGAAAAATAATGCACTAGGTCACTGATTCTCAAATATCGATGGGCTTTGGACCACCAAGGGAACCTTAAAAATTCTAATGGCCAACACACATTCCAGGCCAATTTAGTTAGATGCACCAGTAGCAAGCAGGTAGGCTTTTAACATCCCTCAGGTGACTCAAAAAGCATAATTTTCATATTTGGTCCCCATACCCATGAAGGTGAAAATTATGCTTTTTCTTGTGTCTATGGGTTATTAAATATATAGTGAAGCATGAGAAAAACGCTTTGAAACCTACATATTTTCTGTAAGTTTATGTTACTGTTGGTGTGCATTTATTTGTCCCTTTGGGGAAGCAATTCCAGTTTAGTAGTGATAGTGCTTTGCAACCATGACGGGGGAAAGTGGTCCATGTTGATTTAAGAGTTTCTTCGATATAATTCAATGTCATATGCTTCTTTTAGTTATCAAGAACCAGATGACCTGATGTGTGTTACAGAGGAAATTGCTAACTAACAACTGTAGAGTAGAACCAACAAGTTTCCTTTGAAAGTTAGATTTTGTGCGCAAGTACAAAGGAGAAACGGATGCCCATTCTATGAATTGATGGCTTTGACTGCTTGACTGTTACTTTTCCCAAGCATAAAGCACTGTCAACTTTTTCTTTGTTCTGGATTATAAATAAATGTTGGAGAAAAACAAAGTTGCAAACAAGCAGGTTTAGAGAATGAAAGTACTTCATTGGCTGCTTTTCCAGAGGACCCCGGTTCAATTACCAGCACTTAGGTGGTGGTTCACAACTATTTGCAGCATACCAGTCCCAGGGAATTCATTGCTTTCTTCTGGTCTCTGTGGACAGTAGGCATGCAAGTGGCGCACAGATGTACAAATGCAGACACAATACCTATACATATAAAAAATAAAAAGTATGTATCACTAAAGAAAGGATGTATGGTGTGGACAGTGTTTGGGATTTTCAAAGCTATTAACATCCTTTTTGATACTTTCTTTCATAAGTTTATAGGTATATACTTGGAGCCAGAAATTAAGAGTCACTGGGGCTGAGGAGATGGTTCAGTAGTGAAAATGCTTGCCCTGCAAGTGTGTGGACAAGAGTTCAGATTCCCCAGAACCCTTGTAAAAGCCAGGTGGGTGTGGCATTAATCCCGTCAATGGGAGGTGGAGACAATGGCTCCCTGGAGCAAGGTGGCTAGCTAGACTAGCCAAGTGGTGAGCTCTAGGTTCTCTTCAGAGACCTTCTTTCAATGAGTAAGGTGAAGAGTGATCACAGAAGATTGACCAAGTCAACCTCTGGCTAACACAAGGTTGTACTTGCACATGTGTGCACACCTCATACACACACTTGTATCCACACATGAGAAAACACACCTATATAGGCATGCACAGCACATACAAACAGTTGAGGGGAAAAATCTTGTGACACGGGATTTTCAGAAATTGCTCATACTGTAGATTACCATTAAATTCTACTTTATAAACTTAAACAGAGTTTTATGTAGCCCAGGATGGCCTTGAGAACTCAGTATGTAGTTGGGGATGATCTTGAACTATTAATTCTCCTCCCTCTTGTCACCTCCCAAGTGTTGGGATTCAGGCCTTTTCAGCCATGTCTGGCTTAACCATTATAATGTAGTTGCCACATTATATTGTAGTTGAGGGAAAAATTCCAGCAAGTAACCAGTACCTCTGTGGTGTGGAGACTCAGAGCAAGGGAAAGGAGACCTAGGACACTGGTCATTGATTTGATATGGACTCTAAAGAACACCTGCTCAAGGGTGAAGGAGACTGGGCTTGACAGAGGGAAATGTTGGGCTTTGGTCACTTCCGTAAGGGTTCTCATGCAGTCTGGTGTGGTGCCCTGACGTTGAGGCAAGAGAGGGGAGCTTCTGTACCATAGCTACTTGCCACCAAGTTTAGTACATGTCTCTGCTCCGAGGGAGAGCTCTGGGAAGTCATGAGTGCCTTCGGTTCATGAAATACAATATGCGATCACCCTGGGGAAGGAGAGGAGAGGAGATCCGTGTCTATCATTTCTCTTTTCTCTTGTTATTTCTCCAGAATTCTTCTCCTGCTGTTGACTTCAGGACAGTGAACCAAACACATTATACGCACTTGATAAATGATGAGACCCTAGCAATTTGGAGACAAAAACTCTCAGAACACAACAACGCAAATACAATGAAGTATGTGGTTGTCTGCCTTCATTTCACTTCTTCCAAAGTGTTCTGGAATTTTCTAGCTCAGTGCCTGACACTGTCTGCACCTACAAAGGTTGTGGATGTAAATGGAGTTTTACATTTATGGAATCATTCTTATAAATTTATTTGGAGTCTCATCTCATTAGCCCCCATTACTCATTGCAAGGTCTTTGAAATCCCAGGAAGACCTGGGTTGATCTCTTTGCTGAGAGCTCTCTGTATTTTGTTGCCTATAGAAAGGGTTTTCTTTACACTGAGATGTCAAAAATTCTTGATTTTATTTTTATTATTATTATTATTATTATTATTATTATTATTATTATTTTGAAGGTTTCTCTGTGTAATCCTGGCTGTCCTGGAACTTCCTATGTAGACCTGGCTGGTCTCAAACTCACAGAGATGAGTCTGCCTCTGCTTCCTGAGTGCTGGGTTTAAAGGTGTGCCAACACCACCATCACCCAGTAACAATCTTGAATCTTAGCAGCCTTTTATTTTTGTGATTTTTTTTTTAAGGCAGGGTTTCTCTGTAGCTTTGGAGTCTGTACTGGAACTTGTTTTGTAGACCAGACTGGCCTGGAACTCACAGAGATGCCTCTGCCTCCTCCCAGCCTTTTATTTTTAACTAATTTGTGTAACTTCTACAGTTTTGTCATTGGTTTAATTAGTTGAAACCATAATTCAAAGTCTTCTGGGGAAAAGGTCTAATAAAAATGTGAGGCTTTTGTTAAGCTTAGTTTTTAAAGGAAAATAGTTTTCTGTACATTTTTTAATAGATTTTTGTTGACCTAGAACAGCATTTCCCCGTTTTTCCTGTAGTCTCATTCATGGGAACAAATAAATTGTGTAGCAAAGGCAGCTGTCCTAAGAAATTCAGGGTGGGTGTTGCTTTATGGTCAAGAAGACTGCTGGAGCAAAATGCCCAAGCCCTGCCCTGCAGCAGCCTCGGAATCTTTCTCCTGTTGCAGTTACTGCTCAGGAGCTGAGGCTTGTGAGTAGAGAGGAGGGTAGTGAGGCTAGCTGAGGGTAGTGAGGAGGAACAAGGGGGCTCAGACTGCTGAGCAGCTGGCTTTACCAGTGCTTCTGTTTCCTTACTTATCAAACGAAGATAGAGAAGATAACCTTAAAGGTCTTACCTGACCCAAATTCTACAGCCAACAGAACTTACTGCAGTCTCTGTTTTAGCTGTATTTTATTGCTGTGAAGAGACACCCTGACCATGGCAACTCTTATAAAGGAAAACATTTAATTGAGTGGCTTACATTTTCAGAGTTTTGCTCCACTATCTCCATGGCAGGACATGGTGGCGTGCAGGCATATGTGGTGCTGGAGAAGGAGCTGAGATTCCTGCATCTTGATCCAAAGGCAGCAGGAGTCTATATAACATACTAGGTGCAGTTTGAGCATATATGACCTCAGAGCCCACCCCCACAGTGACATACTGCCTCCAACCAGGCGACACCTGCTCCCAACAAGGCCACACCTCTTCATAGTGCCATTCGCTATGGGTGAAGCAATCATACACATGAATCTGTGGGGCTTATTTCTGTTCAAACCACCAGCCTCCTCCTAGTTATTTACTTGTTATATCCCTGGTCTTTTTTTAATTTTATTTATTTCTTATGTATACAATGTTCTGTCTGCATGTATGCTTGCATGCCAGAAGAGGGCAGTGGCCCACCACGTGGGTGCTGGGAATTGAACTCAGGACCTCTGGAAGAGCAGTCAGTGCTCTTAACCTCTCAGCCCCTATTCTTTGTCTTTCTTGGCAATCCTGGGTCCTTAGAAAGTAGGCACTTCTACAGAGTCTGCAGAGTTTAAGTAATAGTAAATTTTTACTACACTCATCTTTCTCAGATACTCAATAGAATAGGATGACATTATTGGGCATTTATTAACTTCTGTACTTGGAAAATAACAGTGTCGGGGGAAGTCCTGTGTATGTGTTTGTCTTATTGATTGATGAATAAAGCACTGTTGGCCAATAGGGAAGCAAGATAGGTGGGACTAGGAGTCGAGGAGGATTCTGGGAAATGTAGTAAGGAGTCACCATATGATCCCTGGGAAGAGAGGACGCATGCTGCTGGTGTCCTCAATAAGATAAGTCTTTATAAAATATATAGATTAATGGTTGTGGTTGATACTTAAGACAGAGCTAGCAAATAAGAAATCCTAGTCATTGGCCAGCAACATTGAACTAACATAAGATACTGTGTATTATTTGGGGGCCCTAACATGGCAGTGGAAATTAGGCAGCTGGCGGAAAGAGTTATTGTTACAAAATAGCTCACTTTTTTTGTTTTGTTTTTTGTTGTTTTTGTTTTAGAAATGGTGGTAAGAGAATGTCTAAGCTTTTTGTTAGAAGCAATTTTTCTTTTATGGGTTTTGACACTTTCAAAAAATATGTAACTTGTGGGACTCTTGTTCTTGTACTGTTGAAATACTGGTGTCTAAGTTGGCTATGCACCTGCTAGAGGAACAAAGCTGCCCTGATGGCCTAATGGTTTGGCTAGTCAAATGATCGCTTGCTGCTGATACCTCTATAAGTACTGACTTGTAATTCTTAGACTTTTCTCTTCTCTTCTGTCTTGAATAGCGGTGTTGTCCAGATACTGTCTTCTGCAGCTTGTTGGAATGGAAGTTTTCTGGAAAAAAAGTAAGTGTCCTAGAAGCTTATAAACCAGTGTGTAGTATAAATACTTACCAAAGGCCATGAAAGACTTCTTTTGGATAGTATTTTAAGTGAAGGGGAAAATCTGATATTTGTGTAAAAATCAAAGTATCCAGTGATGATGAATTAGAGGACCCAGGGTGGTGGTGTTTACTCACCCTTCTCTGGCAGATTCTCGAAGAGAAACTGCCCCAGGGAGATCTAGTGTGACCCAACGCCAGAACTGTAGGCTGTCCTAAAGTGCTGCTGCTCCCCACATGAATTTATGATTTGTTCTTAAATTGAAAATTCTCTAAGAATTCTTTTGTGCTTGTCATTTGCTCAGGTAATTTTCATTTCCCAACAGGAGTAAGAAATGGAGATATTTTAGGGAGGCTTCATTCAAGGCCTCCTTGGATTTGGGCTCAGCTGCAGCCAACACCAGAGGCAGCAAATAGGATGACTCTTCTGGCCTTATCTCTTCTGTGGGTGGCCCCCTCAGGAACCTCATGCAGCAGAATGGTCTTGCCAAGGGTTGGGATCTTTGGTGATTCCAGGCCATTGTCCTTTTCAACCACTGACCAGGTTAATGATATGTGAAGACGGTTATGCTAATCAGCTCTCTGTTACTGTAACCAATTCCTGTCATAACTGGAAAGGACATGCTTACCTTGGGTGTGTTTTCAGCATTTTTAGTTCATGCTCAGGTAGCCATATTTCTTTTGGACCAGTGGTGAAGAAACCCATCATGGTTGGAGAAGATTCCAGGTAGAAGCTACTCACCTTACGTTCATTGCCAGGGAAGAGATGGGAAAGGGTGAAGGTCCGGTATTAAAGGGTACTAATCCAGTGACCCACCTTCTAAGTGCTTTGCCATCTCCCAGTGACTCTACAGGCTGGAGTTCATGCCTTCTCTCCATGCCATTAAACAGACAGTCAAACTGCAAAATACAGCAACGAGGGGGACTAACAGGAGTTGATAAGGGGGGAGCAGAGGAACGTGGATGGGGAGAGGTCAGCTCAGTGCACAGCATATATGTGTATGGAAATGTCCCCGTGTAAAAGAGCACCATGTATAATTAATATACAAAATCAAAAGATACTTTATGTAAAGCAGTGAGTTAGACTTCAGTACTCTGTGTGATTTCTCCAGTCACTCAACCCTTGGATTAATCAAAATTTTCTTTAATAGGTTTTAATTAATTCTTTGAAAGTTTTGTATAAGTATACAATATATATTGGTCATATTAACCTCGACTTCTCCCCAACTCCTTCCAGATCTACCCTCTTGCTCTCCCACTCACTCTCCCAATTTGTGCTGCCCATATACACATGGAGATGGGGACATCCCTGGAGCATTATTTGGTTGAGCTAATGGGGCCTCATGGTTAAAGAAAACTCCCTCTTCTCTAGTAGTAATCAGCTGACAGTGGGATTTGAGCTAGGATGGGGGGTACCCAGTCCATCCTCACTTCATGCTGGAGTGCAGATCGGCTTGACCTCATGTGGGCAAGCCACTGCTGCCTGGGTTTATAGGTATAGTAGCTCTGCGATGCTCAGAAGGTACTTTTGCCTTGGACTCCTGAACTCTGGCTCTTAAAGACTCTACTGCAGTGTTTCCTGAGCTTTGGGTGAAAGCAGAAGTAATACAATACAGATGTTCCATTTATGGCTGAGCACTCCTCATACATTTAACTCTGTGCACATTAACTGTGAGGTTTTACGTTGACTGCCATCCATTACATGAAGGAGCTTCTCTGATGAGAGCTGAGCGCTACACTAGTCTATGGGTATAGAGGTGTGAATTTATGGGGCAGTTTGATGCTAATGTCCACTTAGCACCACAGTGGTAGCAGGTTCACTGTTGATGCCTTGGAGCTTCCCAGTACAAGCATGTATTTCTCTTTCTGTGGAATGGGCCTTCAACTCAATCAAAAAGTAGTTTGGTTCCCTCTGTAGTATTGGTGCCACTATTATAGCCATGGGACTCTATTGCCGGGCTGATCATTATTGTAGCTTGTAGGGTTTGCAGCTGGGTATGACCATTAATCACTTTGCTCCCGTAGCTGTCTGCATAAGCACTGTGAAAAGTAGCAGCAGCGAGAGGTTTCCAGTTCACTACCAGATTTATTTCTCTAAAGTCCTATGACCAGAGTCTTACCATCATGTTCTGGTGGGGTAACCAATAACAGTGGCAGTAACCTGCATTGTTTGGGGAGGGAGAATCTCTAGGATATACTTGAGCAACCATTGGAGAGAAGTAACCCACACCTGACATTGGACTGCTTTGTTTGTCAACATGTGGCTTCTGGGAGGAAGGAGCATTTCTCCCCCCATCGGGTTAACTTCAGTCAAACTTGTCTGTGTGTGTGCACATGTGTGTGTGTGTGTGTGTGTGTCTCCATGTACACACTTACAGATATGCTTAAGAAGCTGATAAAACAGTAGGCTTCAGTACATCTATCTCTTTTAAACATCCTTAGGGTTAATCGTCCCTCCTCCCATTCCCTCTTTGTGCTGCTGCCACCGTCTCCACTTCAACTTCCTTGCCTATTGTTCCTGTTTTCCCCTTCATATTGCCTGTGTTCTGCTATCTGCTCTCCTTTAACATTGTTCACTGGGCAGTGGTAATGCACACCTTTAATCCCAGCACCGGGAGGCAGAGGCAGGCAGGTCTTTGAGTTCAAGGCCAGTCTGATCTACAAAGCAAGTTCTAGGACAGCCAGGGCTGTTACACAGAGAAGTCCTCCTGTCTTGAAAAAAAAAAAAAAAGGAAAACAACAACAACAAAAAACCCACTTTCTTTCTCTAAAATGGTCCCTTTCTAGTTTTTGATTTCTACAGGCATTCCAGGTTAACCACAAAATTCTAAAAATTCAAAGTTATGATCCAGATATAAGAGAAAACATACAGGGTTTGTCTTTTTGAGTCTGGATGTATTAGTCAGGGTTTTCTAGATCTAATTTTTTAAATATTTTTTTGAGGAAGGCTTGGAATAAGAGGGTCTATGTACCATTTGTTCATGAGTAGGCCACTTTGCATAAGAGTGTGTGTGTGTGTGCGTGTGCGTGTGCGTGTGCGTGTGTGTGTGTTTGCAACCAGCCACATCCAGCAAGAAGACATTGAAGTGGATCAGGCAAGGGACCTGCTTTTAAGCTTTGTGAAAGGTTTGGCTTAAAAATGATAGTCTTTGTACTTTGACCTGTGGGTGCAGAGATATGAAAATTTTAAGCCATGTTTAAAAGTAGAATTGCTCCCAGTGCTCAGGAAGCAGAGGCAGGTGGATCTGTCTCTGTGTTCAAAGCCAGCACAGTATACATAGAAAGCTCTAGGCTGGCCAGGGCTACCTAGGAAGACCCTTTCTCAAAACCAAACCAAACCAAACCAGACTGGGGTAGCTAGAGTTGCTGTAAGGCTTATTATGTTGGTTTTTCCCAAATTAGTGTTCTGTAATATCCACTGGGTCAAATTTAAATCTGCCTACACTGGATAAGCCGATTAACTTCTTACCGTTTTTATCAGTGCTTGCTTTTTGTTTTCTTTTATTACCTATGGATTTCGTTTGTTTGTTTAGAATTGATGAACATTTTAAGACCAGCTCTAAAATCCCTGGGATTGATCTGAACTCAACTAGGGTTTTATTTGAGAAGTTGATGCACTCTCAGCATTCTGTGATTCTAGAACAGGTACGTTGTTTGTGTTTATAGAATGCGGCTTACATTGAAGAGTCAGCCTTTAAGACAAAAGGAGCTGATTGTGATGCTGCATGTCAGTAGGATTTGTTGAAGGAGGCAGGGGCCGGAGGATCAAGAGTTCGAGGCCAGCCTGAGCTCCAGATTTGGGCTGGAGAGAAAGTGCAGCCATTAAAGGCTCGACTGACAACCAAAAATATAAGACATAAGAAACAGCAAGATGAAATGACAGAGTCTTGTACAAGCCTTCATTTTATAAAAATATTACTGTTGGAAGGTGGACTATCTGTTGCTTACGTGTTCCTAAGGAATGGCCTCCCTACAGTACCAGGTCACTGTGGGCAGAAAGCCAGGAGCCTGAACCAGAGCCTGGCTCCTGCTGTTTGCTCAGTGCACACTGAGCAAGAGTTGTGAGTTCATCAGATGACTTGGGAATTTGGAGATGAGTTATTAAGTCTCAGATAGGTTTACATTTCTCACTACGTTTTTCCCCTCTCTTACAGATATTAAACAGCTTTGAAAGTTGTCTCATTCCCCAGTTGTCGAGTTCACCCCCGGATGTTGAAGCGATGAGAATCTATTTAATACTACCAGAGTTTCCGCTGCTTCAGGATTCTAAGTATTACATAACATTGACTATTCCCCTGGCAATGGCCATTCTGCGGCTGGATACAAACCCTAGCAAAGTATTAGGTGAATTCATGAAACTTAGTACCACTGGTTTTGGACTCACTCGTTTTGTTTTGTCAGCTGGCTCTTGCAGACTGAGATCTAACAATCTATTTGTTGCCATTTACTAGCTTTACCATTTAGTTCTTTCTTTGCTGTTGATTTCTAACTAACCCTGTTTGCAAGCTGGGCGGATTAAACTGTTATTTAATTTAACCTGAAGTGATTCATGACAATTTTGAGATAGTCATGAAGTTTGGTTATTCAACTTTAGGCTATCTGCCCCTGCACCTCCCGCTGCATTTGCTTGCAGTTGTAATGCCTCATATATTTCTGTCCTTCTGTCTGTCTATCTCCAGTACTGACTTTAGCGGGTGGCAGCCAAATAAACAGGTTTGTGATACAGAGATCTCCAAGAAAGGAGAGATAGAGAGTGACCAAGTGAGGACTTACGGAATGTTTGTTTTGTTTTTCTTTTTTAGGACAGTTGAGTCCACACTGATTTTTGCAGGCTCCGGACACTGCTGAGATAAGAACCTTCAGTTCCTCAGCGAGCTGGAGAGGGTCTCTGCTGGAGTAGCACCTGAGATGTTTTTAGTAATCTGGTGCAGAAACCTGTCACCTGGCTTCTCACTTTTTTTTCCCCTCCCTTGGTAATTTTTTCAGGTGTTTGTTTCAACTTGGTAACTTCTGTGGTTCAGGTGGCCTGAGTATCACTGGAGCACGGCTTTCCCTGGAGTGAACAGACCTGCTTCTGGCTTTTCCATTGCCTCCACCTTCACACAGGCGATAAATCCAGAAGTAATAGTGAACTAATCAGTAATATGCTAGTACTTAATACTTTCCAAGATCAGGAGCTGTTCAGAGTGTGTTTTCTTAGGTCATTTCATCAGACCTTTTAAGCTTTGGTGTTTTTAAATTTTTTCTAGGCCAGATAACACAAAACAGAATAGGATTATTCAAGTTTATGATTAATCTATTTCTAGCTCCTGACAGTTCAAATTGAAGAGAAAACCTCGAAGTAGGGTGAACCCAATAGATGCCTGTCACATAAATCCAACAGCTGTCAATAGTTTGTTCGTTTTTTTCATTCTTCCCCCACTTTTAATTTTCTTTAAAGTTTATTTTATGTTTATGGATATTTTGCGTGCATGCATATCTGTGCACCAGGTATGTGCCTGGTGCCTGGTGTCATGGAGGCTAGACACGGGCATCAGGTCCCCTGGAACTGGAGTTTCAGATGGTTGTAAGTAGTAGGGTTAGGTGTTAGGAATAAAGCCTGGCTCTGGAAGAGCAGTCAGTACTCTTAACCACTGAGCCGTCTCCTCAGCCCCCCTCCCACTTTAATTTTTAATGAAATATTTTAAATAAGGAAACCTTATGGGTTTCAGTGTGGTGGAGTTCATTTCTGAAGAATCCAGTGATAAAATCCTGCTTGGATATGAGAAAGCACCTCTTGGGGAGAATATGCATACTGGATTTATTTCTTAAACATTAATTATGCTTCATCAGAGAAGAAATGGTTTCTCTCTTCCTCTGAGTATGTGGTGTCTGTGCCTTGACCCATTCTGAGTGTGAGGTACAGATTTTCAGTAGTGGCCGGGAGCCGTGCTTGGAAGGTCTAGGGCACATGAATGCTACTGCTGTAGGTAAAGTAATATCCTGTAACATCCTGCTGCCCGGAGTGTGTCTGGGCCCCACACAGCCTTGGGACTGAACTTTTTCAGTTTAGCCTTCAGGATGAGTCTGAAAACAAACGAACAATAACAACAACGAAACATTAAAGAAAGCAAGAGGCAGGGGGGAGAGGGCAGGAGGGAGGGAAGGAAGGAACGAATGAAGGTAAAAGTTTCAGGGCTTCTGGTACAGCTGTTTTCTCCAGACATGTTTCAATGGTTCCTTTGTGAAATCACTTTTGGGAAGCTGTGTTGTAGACTAATATTTATGTTCTAGCCGTAAGAGTTTTAGCTGTCAGGAAGAAGACATAAGAACACTTGCCTGAGGTTATGTGTTAAAACATGTCTCCCTCCCTCCCTCCCTCCCCCCCTCTCTCTCCCTCTCCCTCCCTCTCTCCTTTCTTCCTTCTAAAGATGCAGTCCTTTATCTGCTGAAAGGAAGGAAGACATTCCTAATCCCCGTAGTGTTTACAAGTTACGTGACTGCTGCTCTCAAGCTTCTGAAGAAATTATACAAGGTAACCCTTGGGGGTGGGGAGAGGGTGGTGGGAAGAAGTGTCCTGCTGAGGCTTTCTCTGGGAGACTTTTCAGTTCTTTGCTTTCAGTTGTTCTCATTTTGTGCTTTCATCAGGTCAATCTTAGAGTGAAGCATGTGGAATACGATAAATTTTATATCCCTGAGATTTCTAGTCTTGTGGACATTCAGGAAGACTACCTCATGTGGTTTCTGCATCAGGCAGGGATGGTAAGACTTTATATAAAGCATATTTTAAAGCTTTAGCCTTTTCATGTTTGTATTTTTGCTTGTTTTTCAAATGTACACTTGAGCCATATACCTTGTCTTTGACTTGAATGCTGGTGCCACACCTGTCTTCCACTCAATTAACTCTTGCATTCTTGAAACATGGAAGTATTTTTAGGTAGCCATAAATGTCATAAGGGTCCATAAGGTGTCTGGGGCTGGAATGTAACTTAGTGGTGAAGTGTGTGCTTAGCATGCTCAGGGCTCTAGGTATGACCCCCAGTACTACATTAAGAAGGAGGAAGGGCGAGAGCAGTCAAGTTGATAAAAGCAGTGGATTGATGGTTGGCAGAGGTGGCCTGCAGGCAGTAGAGAATGGAGTTGTTGTTTTCAATACATTTTAGCCTCAAGTTCAGCAAGATGTGATGGTTCTGGAATTCTGTTGTCTAACAGTGTTGCTAGAGTTTCTTGCCCCACCAGGTCCTGCCACTTCAGCCCCAAATGAACACACAGAGATGCTATATATATATTAATTATTAAACTGTTGGCTGATGGCTAGAGTTTCTTACTGGCTATCTCTCTCTCAATTATTGATCCATTTCTATTAATCTCAGTATTTCCATGTGGTTTTGGCTTACCAGAGAATGCCCAGACCTGTTACTCCTTTTGCGGCTCCGTAGTGTTGTCTTGAGGTCTGTCTCTGCCTACCTTTCCCAGAATTCTCCTCATCTCCTAATCCCGCCTATCTTCCTGCCTCCATTGGCCAAACAGTGTTTTATTCGTCAACCAATAAGAGAAACATATATACGGAAGGACATCCCTCATCGTAACAGTGTGACGGTTGGCTTTTTTTAAAAAAGTATTTTATTTTATATGTTTGAGTGTTTTATCTGTATGTGTGTCTGTGTACTGTGTGCATGCCTGGTGCCCTCAGAAGCCAGGCAAGGCCCTTTGATCTCCTGAAACTGGAGTTATTGACTGCTGTGAACGGCCATGTGATTTCTGGGAATTGAACCTGGGTCCTCTGCAAGAGCAGCCGGTGCTTTTAACTGCTGAGCCATCTCTCCAGCCCCTTGTTTTGTGGCTGAGATAGAATCTCGTATATCCCAGACTAGCTTCAGACTCATCATACAATGAAAGATGACCTTGGTCTTCCTGCCTCCCCATCTCTTTCCAAGTTCTGGAATCACTAGCGTATACTTCCACACCTGTTCTTTCTACATTGTTGGGTATCCAACTCAGCTGGACAAGCCCCTACCTAAAAAACTGTACCCAGTACATGCAGATACTCTTAATACTGCGAGGATGGCATGTTTTATTTATATTAAATAAATAAAAGAGACTTATTTTTTGAGCCACAAGTTAGATATTTGGACATTAATACATAAACTTTCAGCATTTCTTAGATCTTGGAAGATCTGGCACACAGCTGCCTTCCAGAAGTTACCAGCTGGCTGGGTGGAAGATGATCTTGTTGGCAGTCTGTGTGCCACCATCCCCACTGATTTAACGATAGTATTGGCGATCATTTACTAGTCATTGTTTTCTGGCAGATAGACTACTTCACTCTTCTTACATGAGCTACTCAGACCCAGTGGCCTCCTCTCCTTGAGGATGGCTCATAAAAGGATGTCATACATCCCCAACCCAACTCTGGTGATGTTTGACATAGCACTTGAGGGACTGTGGATTCCTGTCTGCTGCCCTAGGTATGGCAGCAGTTGTCATCGATAGCAGACTTGCCTGCATATATGGAAGGTTTTGTTTTGTTTTGTTGGGTTTTTGTTTGTTTGTTTGTTTTGTTTTGTTTTCCGAGACAAGGATCCTCTGTGCTTTGGAGGCTGTCCTGTAACTAGCTCTTGTAGACCAGGCTGGTCTCGAACCCACAGAGATCCGCCTGCCTCTGCCTCCCGAGTGCTGGGATTAAAGGCGTGCGCCACTGCTGCCCGGCTATGGAAGCGTATTAGGATTTGTGCAAACTTGAATGCCAGAGAACAGGTAACTGTTTAATACTTATATTGAATGCTGCTGGTATAGCAGGTACATCTGAGAAAATCCTTTGCCACTTTGGCAGATTCATCACCATCGTCAGGGTGCCATTTTCTCTGTATGGTTTTTGAGCTGCTTTGCAGTGGTCTCTAAAGCCAAAGTATTTACATGAGTGTATTTAACTAAATAGTTAAGGTAGTTTTCTAGGTCAGATGATAGATGATCAAAATAATGGAAATTTTTTTCCTCATGAAAATTTAAAAATTGGGACACTTATTTTTTTGTAAGATTTTTGTTATTATTTTGAAAAAACAAAATAGCTTTTCAGTAGAAATGTTTTAAAAGAGTTGATATTGGAATTTTAACATGGGAGTATCAATGAACTCTAGTCTTCATTTAAAAATTATGAAAGGTCAGTTTGTAAATTATAAAATGTCAGAGACAAAAATGAGTCTGAATGAGTTATTTCAGGTAATTACTTTGTCCCCAGGTAGAACACAGAGTCCTGGGGACATTGAACAATTTTTCTCTAGCTCGGTTCGCTCTGACATTCAGTTCTCCTTTCCTTCTGGCCCTAAGTAAGAAACTGTTCTTATTAGAATGTCAGTGGGCATAAGCATGGTCTTTGAGCAGAGGCATTTAAATGACCAGTTTTGCCAGTTTGTTTCTGTGATAAGCAGAGGTGATGTACTAAAGAAACATCTTACCAGATCTCTATAATTCATGTCCTCTTTGGTAATTAAACCATTACTATAACAAGGTAGAAAATTAGCTCAAGTTAGTGTGTGTGACTTTTTATGCTTTCTGTGGAAATTGTTCTATTGTATAAGGTACAGTGTAATTAGAAATTGAAATTTAAGTTTCTTGATATCTGGAAGTTTTGCTTTAAATGCTAATGGCATTTCATATAGTTTCTATTTTATTCACTTTAAAAATAGTGAATAATTGGTTTGCTGTATTAGTACTTTAGCCTTGTACTACCACAGTGTATAAGACAACAAGCACATGGTCCATTTTAAAAAGAACTGTCTGGGCACTTGTAGGGGTCCCTATAAGTGCTTTTGTCTGCAGAGAAGTGAACAGTGGAGAGGCAACAAAGAAACTCAGTTCAGCATGACTTATCTCGGCTGGTTCAAACTTCTGTAGTCTGTCACCAAGAATGTTTATTTTAGACATACTTAAGTACAGTACAGTTTTGGATAAAAGGTTTCCTGGTAACAATTATCTCAGTCCCATGTGCACAATAAGTTTAAGACATGACTGCACGGAAACTCATTTGCAAAGTACACGTGACCCTGTTCTATGGATTAAGGACCTAGGATGATCTGGTGTGGTCTCTGACTGAGATAGCATCGAGGTCAGCAGGCCGTAAAGGACAAGTGACATCTCCCCTAAGCCTGGGTTCTAGTGCCTGAGGAACAAAGCTAAAGCTAAAGGTCTAGGGAGGGAGAGTCTGGGATAAGCATTTGGGGAATTTGGTTGTGGTCTCCCTCTAGAGATAGCAGCGGTCACAGGTTATTAACAATACCCACTCGAAGCCTTCTGGCTAGAAAACAGATGAGACAGTCCTGTATGATTGGTATTTATGGTTTCTGCAGGGCTTATCTGTGAGCATTCATGCCCTCTACAGTGGTGGTAGAGCACATCTTTAATCCCAGCACTGTGGAAGGCAGAGGCAGGCAGATCTTTGTGGGTTCGAGACCT